GCACAGCAGGGAACCCCAGAGCTATAAAACATTTTTGAGCTAGGTGCCTGGCTGTCTGAGCGAGCTGTGCCATATAACACCTCGTATAAGATAAGGCAAGCTTTTCCAGGAGTTCAAGGCATTCCAACGAAGCACGAACCAGATAAACACTTTTCAAAATCCATTTTTCCCCTATGTCTCATATCTTGGAATATGAGAGACTTACATAAAAACCAGACATATTGCCAGATTGGCCAAGAGGAGACGAACATTTTGGTAGGTCACTCTTCTTGTCTCGAATACATAAGAAAGCCGAAAAGTAGATCTCGTGAACCTTTCAGTGTATATAATTTCATATCTAATCAATCCTCAGACGTGTCTGCATAATAATCTACCAGCAGGTGGAGTTATGAGCCAAAAATATAAACTATACAAGATTTTGGCTCTAGTTTAGGTCTACGCCCAGACCTCCATGCCCTAACGGGGTTATTGGTCCTTGACTTCAGAGACACCCCCTGCTAGGGAACTACAAATTGGGTTGTCAGGCCTAAGAGAAGGAAGTTGAAGAAGTCTCCCGATTAACATCAGAACCACCTGGGGAGACCCATACCCTTTTGCTCTGAAACTTGATCTGCAAACCCAAGGCTGATTGGCAAGTACTTTAACCCTTTAACCTCCTTCTGTTACCTCTTTGCTGTGCTGTTGTTCTCTGTATATTTATATATACACCATGTTCCAAAATATTATGCAAATTCTATTTAAGTGTCACAAAGATTAAATATTTTGTTTTTCAGTTTAACTCATGGATGGCATTGTGTCTCAGGGCTCTTTTGATCACTGAAAACAATCTCGGACACCTGTGATAATTAGATTGGCCGGTGAGTCCAATTTAAGGAAAAACTACTAAAGGAGGGTGTTCCACATTATTAAGCAGAGCACCATTTTCAAGCAATATGGGGAAGAAAAAGGATCTCTCTGCTGCCGAAAAGAGTAAAATAGTTCAATGCCTTGGATGAGGTATGAAAACATTAGATATTTCACGAAAACTTAGGCGTGATCATCGCACTATTAAGAGATTTGTGGCTGATTCAGAGCACAGAGGGGTTCATGCAGATAAAGGTACATTGAGGAAGATTTCTGCCAGAACCATGCATCGGATCAAGAGAGCAGCTGCTAAAATACCATTACATAGCAGCAAACAGATATTTGAAGCTGCTGGTGCCTCTGGAGTCCCACAGACATCAAGGTATAGAGTCCTCCAGAGTCTTGCAACTGTGCATAAACCTTCTATTCGGCCACCACTAACCAATGCTCACAAGCAGAAAACGGCTGCATTGGGCAGAAAAAAACATGAAGACTAATTTTCAAACAGTCCTGTTCACTGATGAGTGCCGTGCAACCCTGGATGGTCCAGATGGATGGAGAAGTGGATGGTTGGTGGACGGCCACCCTGTTCCAACAAGGCTGCGACGTCAGCAAGGTGGTGGTGGAGTCATGTTTTGGGCCAGAATCATGGGAACAGAGCTGGTCAGCCCCTTTAGGGGCCCTGAAGGTGTAAAGATGACCTCTGCAAAGTATGTGGAGTTTATGACTAACCACTTTCTTCCTTGGTACAGAAGGAAGAACTATGTTTTCCGTAATAAAAACATCTCATGCTGAAAATAATACCTCTGCATCAATGGCTGTTATGGGGATAAAAGGAGAGAAAGTCATGGTGTGGCCTCCATCCTCCCCTGACCTAAATCCTATTGAGAACCTTTGGAGCATCCTCAAGCAAAAGATCTATGAGGGTGGGAGGCAGTTTACATCCAAACAGCAGCTCTGGGAGGCTATTCTGACATCTTGCAAACAAATTCAAGCAGAAACTGTCCAAAAACTCACAAGTTCAATGGATGCAAGACTTGTGAAGCTGCTATCAAATAAGGGGTCCTATGTTAAAATGTAACGTGACCTGTTAAAATGTTTAAAAAGTTAAAATGTTGTTAAAAGTTTGATTGAAATAGCTTTTGATTTCAGTAAATATGCTGCAAACACAACAAATGACAATTTTCAGTTCTTTACAACCTATAAAGTGTTTTTAAACTTACTGTGCGTAATAATTTGGAACAGTGCATTGTAAGTTTTTTATGTTTAAAATAAATACTGTTATCATTAGGAGGTTTGTTCAATAAAATTTGAATTGTACTCTTAATAGCTGATAACATGAGAATTATGCTGACTGTTATTTACATCAATTATTTAGGTAAATGAGAAAAATATCATTTGCATAATAATTTGGAACACGGTGTATATTAGTTAAATCTTTTTCTGTAAATATTATTATTGCACCCCTTTTTGACTTTTCAGTAATAAATCTTTCCTTCTGAAAGTGTTGAACTGTTTCTATAGCTCTTAATTGCAATTTACGAATTCCTGCCTCTAAAAAGAACGCTACTGTGTTTGTTTAACCCTCTGTATAACCGGCCTGCGGTGACCGTGTTATGCAAACGATTATCTCAACCATTATAGTGTTATAGCTGTTTTCGCCGAGTTTCCTCTTTCTCTGTACAAAAAGGAGGTGGTGGCAGTGTGAAGGCTTAATTGCATAATTAACCTGACCCAGTAACAATCGCTCAGGCTGCCGGTACATCGATTGTGGTCCATTAGCTGGAAAATCGTTGTGCAGGGTGCGGCTGGTTGTGGCATTGTTAAGCACGTGACATCGCGGCTTCAGATTGGCCAGTCACGAGTTTGGTGAGAAGGTCAGGGGTCTGACGCCGTGTCCGTCACAAATTGATGACAGCGATCGTGGGATCGTCACATATTGGTGGCAACGATCCCGCGCTCGTCACAACAGGTAAATAGGAAATGCCGGTTATTGGCTCTCCTTTCCTCATGCTAACAGCGCGTGAGGAGAGGAGAGCATTTCCCAAAGGGGACATCTACACTGATAATCAGGGCACTGATCATCAGTAAACACAAATACTCCTGCCCTTGGGGATGGACTCGATGCAGGTGACAACCACATTAAGAATGTCCTGGAACATGCACACCTTGCTGCCCTCAAATAGACCGGGGGAATCCAAATATACTGAATGAGGAAAGAACAAACAGAGGGCACACAGGCCTAGTGCATTACCATAAAAAATGTTTAATAAGAAATAAAGTAGGTGTTGTACTCACAAACGACAATATAGTCAAGGCACATCATAAAGAACAGCTGGGTCAACACCTCGCTGAGTAACAGTCCGCAATAGGGAGTGTGGACATCCAATAGGCTGATGCGTTTCGAGAACTTGCCTCTTCCTCAGAGCCCTGATGATCAGTGCAGCCCCATCAGTGATGCCTTTCAGTGCACATAAAATCCACCTGTCAGTGCCCATCAATGCACACATGCCCATCAGTGCCCATCAATGCCACTTTTCAGTGCCCATCAGAGCTGCCTTTCAATGCCACCTATCAGTGCCAGTCAGTGCTGCTTATCAATGCCCATCAGTGCCGCCAATCAGTGCCACCTATCAGAGCCAGTCAATGCTGCCTATAAATGCCCATCAGTTCCACCTATAAGTGCCAGTCAGTGCAGCCTATCAGTGCCCATCACTACCACCTATCAGTGCCCATAAGTGCTGCATAACAGTTCTAATCAGTGCCACCTAAAGGTTCCAGTCAGTGCCACCTATCAGTAGCAGTCAGTGCCACCTATCAGTGCCCATAAGTGCCACCTATCAGTGCCATATATGAGTGTTTCCTTTCAGTGCCCATTAGTGATGCCTGTCAATGCACTTCAGTGCCACCTATCAGTGCTTCCTCATCTGTGCCACCTATCAGTGCCAATCACCTACCAGTGCCCATCACCTACCAGTGCCCATCAGTGCTGCCTTTCAGTGCCCATCAATGATGCCTGTCAGTACCTATCAGTGCCACTTATCAGTGTTGTCTATCAGTGCAACCTATCAGTGCAGCCTATCAGTGCTCATCAGTGCAGCCTCATCAGAGCACATCAGTTAAGGAGAAAAATTACTTATTTACAACATTTTTTAACAGAAACTAAGAAAAAACATTTGTTTATTTTCAAAATTTTCATTTTTTTAGTTTGTTTAGCAAAACATAAAAACCCAGAAGAAAGCTGTATCTGTATCAAAAAAATGATAACAATTTTCTATGGGTGCAGTGTTGCATGACTGCGTAATTTATATTCAAAGTACGACAGCACTGAAAGCTGAAAATTAGTCTGGGCAGGAAGGAGGTGAAAGTCCCCGGTAGGCAAGTGGTTAAACACACTTTAAGGCTCCATTTATATTAGCCTGCTTCCAAAGTACAAAGAGCATGACTTTGATGTGACTTGTGGTGCGATTTTGATCCGACTTTACATTCTGTGGATCAAAGTTGCATCAAAAGTCGCAGACAAGCAGTGCAGGCACCTCTCCAAAATCTCTGTAACTTTAAGTTGCAACAATTTGAACGGGTGCCATTGAAAGGAATGGGGTGTGATTTGTCATGTGACTTTGATGTCCAACCTGAAATAACTGCTCACACCTGAATAGTTTCCTGTGTCTATCAAATATCTAAAGAATAGCATATAGATATTGTGTATACTATGCAAATGACATGACATCACTTCCTACCATGAAATCTCTCATACACTATAAAGATAGAGAAGACCCTTTACAGGTTATTTCTGAAGTGTATACATACAGATTAAACAGAGGAATAATGAAGACCCTAATAGGCCTGCTTATATCATTATCATGGCTGTCAGGTGAGACTCCATAGGACAGGATCCCTCAGATGACATAATCCTCCTAATAGATCTCAGTGTATGTATTAGTTCTAATACTATTTCCTATTGTCTCTGTATATTTTCCAGGTGTCCTGTCTTCTAACCAACTTGTCCAGTCTGATTCAGCCGTGATAAAGCCGGGGAACTCCCATACACTGACCTGTCAGGCTTCAGGAGGATTCACCTTTGGTGGCAACATTATGTACTGGTTCAGACAGTTCTCTGATGGAAAGTTACAATGGTTGTGTTATATTTACCAGCGGTGGGGATACAGGCTATAATGATGCTGTTAAAGGGAGATTCACAACCACCAGCGATAATAACAATAACAAGCTGACTCTGAAAACGGACAACATGAAAATAGAAGACACTGCCGTGTATTACTGTGCAAGAGACACACTGATGGAGAATATATCTTTCCTGTAACAAGAAGTAGAATATCCCTTCTTCATGTTATCAGTAGGTGGCAGCACATCCATGGAATGACCGGACACAATAGTTATAACTATCACTAAACAACCAACTAATGATTTAACTGCAGATGTAACTTTGTGTAAAGCCTCTACAATGTACACATATAGGCCTCATGCACACAGGACGTGTTAAAAACGCTTTTCTAACGCTTTTACAAGCATTTAGGCACGTTTACAAACATCAAGTGCTTGGACGTCAATGCATTTAATTGGCCAGAATAGTCATTTATTCAGGCCATTAAAATGAATTAACGCTCCAGCCCTAAACGCGCCTAGCTTTAACACGCATTTAGATGTTTTTTCCATGTGTCAAGCATTTTTTTTCTACCAAAACACTGATGCCCCTGGATGCACTGTCCCTGGATTTTGTTTCTACTGGTAAACACTACTGCTACTAAAAGCTTCTAAAAGTCTATGTGTGCACGGACACATAGGATAACATGGAGGGCTGTTTGGAAGCAGTAAGTGGCCTGTGTGCATGAGGCCATATAAGCAGTCTCTGGATGTGGTTACATAGTGAAAGCATTCCATTCCCCCCACACAGAATTGTCAGCTCTTTATAATACTTCCAACACACACTGACAATATAGTTGCTGTCAGCCCATGTGTTCATAGAAGGAAGTTGTTCCTTATTTCTTGTGAATATATTAAATTTTTTTACTAAAGGTGAACTTATCCTTTAGCCTGGGTTCACATACATGCGGTGCGGTATATTGCATGTGATTCGCACAGGAATCTCACTACATTCCTGTGCAAATCACATGCGATTTGTGTGCGGTGCGATTGGGGCCATACATTTTGTATGGCTCTATATGCACTACATCCACACCAAAAATGTGCAGGACCCTTTTTTGGGTCCGCACTAAAATCGGATTGCATGGGTATTCACACTTATGCGATTTGATTCTGCACATCGCACTGTGTTTTGCGGACCGCTTTTGGGATGTTGTTAACTTAACATACACACCCGCAGCGGTTCGCATGAACGGGGCGCGATTCTGATGTAGAGCGGAATTCGCATTGAAACGCTGCCAATTCCACACCACATCAGTGTGAACCAGGGCTTAAACCACTTATTGTCTTGAAGAGGTAAAAAGCTGCATGTGAACCATAAAACACCAGTTTGACATACCTGGTAGAGGGGTTGACTTAACTATTATTGTAACTAGATTGATAACTTTGGTGAAAAAAGTGAAAATATGCAATTAAAGCATTATATATGTGTATTTATCCCACAAGCAACCAAAAAAAGCCCAGCAACCCCAATTTGAAGTCACACTCTCCACACACTCATTAATGTGTCACAAATTCTAAAATAAATGTATAATGCAGCGCCTACCTACTACTAATCCTAAGCACCTCTTGAAAACCTCATCACAAACATGAGTGTTATAACAAAACATCAATATTAAGAAAAGTCCCATTAAAATCATAAACCAATGTTCCTCCACCAACACCAATATTAAAAAAAAAAAACATCAATATTAAGAAGAAAAGTCCCATATGAAAAAGAAAAAGTCCCATATACAATAGGATCTTTCTTGATATTCCTCCACCCTTGCACCACTTCACATCCTTATAAATCATAAACCAATGTTCCTCCACCAACACCCAGATTGTGCTCTCACCTGGAGCTTATTGATCTCACATTTTATAATGTTTTGGTCATAAAGCGCTTGTGTCCTCCTAATGGGACTGATGGAATTAAGACTCCCCAGGCAGTTCTCCTCCCAGCAAACTTTGATGCTTATATCTCCTTCTCTTCCTCTTTTAAACCTTCCGTTAAAAAAAATGGAATAGGCAGAAATGACAAACATTTAAAAGAGAAAATCTCATTCAAAACCCAGATTTATATATAAAAAAGCACCCATGTTGTGGAATAAATTGGTTAAAAAAAATGTGATATATCTACCTAAAGAAAGGAATTTTACATTTTTTTGCAGCTAAGGGTTTTATGCCTGTGGGAATTGCTATAGTTGTGTTAGAACACGTAATATAAAAAGACAGAAATCCTTTACTAACCCCTCTACAGGAAAGAATTATGTTATTAATAATTTTATATCGTGTCATACTAAAGAAGTAGTTTATATGTTGACATGCCCCTGTGGATATTTTTATGGGGGGGAGAACGAAAAGGGCATTAAAAGATCGTATGCAGGAAAAAAAGAGCATGTTTATAATATTAGTATATGATATAAAAACATTATTTGTCTAACCAGTTTAGAATAAAACATAGTAAGAGTTTTAAAGATTCACAATTTTGGGGAACAGAAAAATAAAAGACATTGGCGGGGGGACAATAGGATTAGGGAATTGAGTGAAAGAGTCCTGGTGGACATATGAATTAGGATTCCTTGTACCTAAAGGTTTAAATGCAGAATTTGATTTTATGTGATTTTAAAGTAATTTTTATCCACTTGCCTACTGGGCACTTTGCCATGTACACCAAGACATCAAATGAATGGAAGACCTGACCAACTCCTTTGCAATGCTGTACATAAATGAAATTTATGTCATTTATTCCCACAAATAGAGCTTTCTTTTGGTGGTATTTGATTACCTCTAGGGTTTTTATTTTTTTTGTGCTATAAAGAAAAAAAAAAAAAAAAAAAAAAAAAACAAAAATTAAACAAAAATAGATATTTTCTAATTTCGGTTATAAAAAATATCCAATAAACTCCAATTTCATCATAAATGTAGGCCAAAATGTATTCTGCTATATGCCTTTGCTGAAAAAAAATCCCAATACGTGTAAAGTAATTGGTTTATGTGATTGTTATAGCGTTTTCAAATGGAGGTATATATATATACTGGATTTCTTTTTATTTTTTACTAGTAATTGCAGCGATCAGCAACTTATAGCAGTACTGCGGCATTCTGACACTGGGGGAAACTGACCTGGTGTCACTGACATCCCCAGTGACACCAATACATTGATCAGTGCTAATAAAAGGCACTGTACTAATGGCACAGGCCAGGAAGAGGTTATCATGTAGGGCGATTAAAGGGTTAATTGTGTGCTGTGTGTGTTTTACTATGAGGCTGCGCGCTGTGTTTCACTGTAAGCACACTGCTTTGTATGGCTCTGCTATGCAGAGCCATACAAAGCAGTGTGCAGGAGCTGACAGGAAGGAGATCTGTATCGTTTACATATAAGTCTCTACTCTGTCGGAAATCATCGGAGATCGCTGGGTGGCGGCGAGGAATCACCGGATGGGACCCTGTGATTGACAGTTGAGGTCGCGAATGGCGGGTTGTGGGTAGCCAGGAACGGCAAAATCACGTATATATATATATATATATGTGATTTTGTGCACCCATGCAGCCCTGTAGCAGTATTTCTGCTATAGGGTGACACAGAAGCGGTTAAAGGATAAGTTCAGCTATGGGAACATGTTACATGCTCCACCCATTTTTAGCGTGGAGCATGTAACATGTCCCTGCTCCTTCAGCCACTCCCCGATCACCCCCCCCTCCCTGTAAAAGTAGGCCAGGGATCTTCTCCCTGCACCCACTGTCACTATTTGAACAAACCTACAGTTGCAAGAAAAAGTATGCGAACCCCTTGGGATTATGTGGAGTTTTGCATGAATTGGGCATAAAATGTGCTCTGAACATCATCTAAATCACAATAGAAGAACACAGTCTGCTGAACATAATACTACACAAACATTAGATGTTGCCATGGTTTAATTGCACATAACATGTAAACATTCACAGTGCAGGGAGGAAAAAAGTATGTGAACCTTTGGATTTAATAACTGGTTGACCCTCCTTTGGCAGCCAATAAACCTCAACCAAACGTTTCCTGTAGTTGCAGATCAGACCTGCACAATGATCTGGAGTAATTTTGGACCACTCCTCTTCACAAAAACTGTTTCAGTGTAGCAATATTCTTGGGATCTTCTGGTGTGAATCGCTCTCTTAAGGTCCATGCCACAGCATTTCAATCGGGTTGAGGTCAGGGACTCTGACTGGGCCACTCCAGAAGGCGTATTCTGTGCTGTTGCAGTCATTGTTTTGTTGAATTACTTGTATGCTTTGGGTCATTGTCCTGTTGCATCACCCATCCTCTGCGGAGCTTCAGTTGGCGGACAGATGGTCGTACGTTTTCCTGCAAAATGTCTTGATAAACTCTGGAATTCATTTTCCCATCAATGACAACAATCTGTCCAGGCCCTGAGACAGCAAAGCAGCCCCAAACCATGATGCTCCCTCCGCCATGTTTTACAGTGGGGATGAGGTTTTGATGTTGGTGTGCTGTGCCTTTTTTTCTCCACACATAGTGTTGTGTGTTCTTCCCAAACAACTCAATCTTGGTTTCATCTGTCTACAGTATATATTTTGTCAGTAGTGCTGTGGAACATCCAGGTGCTACTTTGCAAACTTCAAACATGCTGCAATATTCTTTTTGGACAGCAATGGCTTCCTCCGTGGTGTCCTCCCATGTACTCCATTCTTGTTTAATGTTTTCCTTATTGTAGATGTGGCGAACAAAAATGTTAGCATGTGCCAGAGATTTCTGTAGGTCTTTAGCTGACACTCTGGGATTCTTCTTACCTCATGCAGCATTCTGCGCTGTGCTCTTGCAGTCATTTTTACAGGACGACCACGCCTAGGGAGAGTAGCAGCAACAGTGCTAAAACTTTCTCCATTTTGTAGACAGTCTGTCTTACCGTGGACACATGAACATCAAGGCTTTTGGAGATACTTTTGTAACCCTTTCCAGCTTCATGCAAGTCAACAATTCTTGATCGTTAGGTCTTCTCTGTGAGGCATGGTTTCACCATCAGACAGTGCTTCTTGAAACCAGTAAATCCAAAACAGGTGTGTGTTTTTTGAGGGAAAGGACAGCTGTCAGCAACACAATCCAATATCATCACACTGATTGGAGTCAAGGTTGGCTCACTCCTGGCTCCAATTAGCTCTGGGAGAAGTAAGAAATTAAGCTAG